GAAATTACTAGACAAAATGAGCAGGATAATAGACAAATACAAACCTATTGTTAAAAAATTGGAGAAGGATAAGGCCAAAAGTTTGAACGCGGAATTGGATAAATTGCGAGATCTGGAGAGCAAATTGAAAAAAGGTGAACCTAAGCTGGATGGAAAGGTCTATTCGAAATACCTAATCCAAATCACGAATCATCAAACCGCGCTCGAAAATATAATTTAAAATTTTAAAATATAATTATATAAACTTTATATAATATTAATTACATTACCATTTATTTTGTATGAATTACCCTTATAAACATTAATTGTGTAAACTTTTTTTTGTAAAATTGTAAAATTTTATAATAAATGTTATGAAAAAATAAATTATGGAATATATTTACTGTATTTATTTATTGTAGTTATTATAATTATATTTAATATATTAACTATACAGTGTGTAATTGAAATAATTGTGTTTAATAAATAACTACTCAATTAATAAATCAATTTTTTTTATTTATCATTATTTCAATATACTGTAGTATTGATAAAATTTTTTATAAATTTGTATATTTAACAAACATTAAAATTAATAATTTATTTATAAATATTAAAAACCAAAAAATATATAATAAACACTTTCACATCAACTTGATTATATTCCACAGCAATTTGTTAATTTTGCATTGTTGTTTTATTTAATTAACATTAAATCTAAAATTAATTGTTTTAAATTATCCAACTAACTTATGCGTAAAGTTAATAAACATCAAAATATTATATTCTAAAGCTTACAGTATCTTGTTTACAGTTTTTAAGTTTAATATAACATATTTTATTTTAAATAATATTTTCTTTAAATTTTTACTTACAATTCTTTTATAAGTAATTAAACTAATTACTATTATATATAATATTAATTTTTAAACAACAATTTAATTATTCTGCATAGAGTCTATGCCATAGACCAATTTATCTTGTTATAAAATTTTACTTTGATTTATTTTACCTTGATAAATTTTAGTTGTGAAATAAGGATTTCCTAATACTATATTGTTGGTTGAGATAAGGAATTTAAATATTTGTCAATTTGTCTAGTTAATTGTCACATACACACGCGTGCTGACAAGTAAAAATACATCACGTACACATTTTAAAGTGCTTATATAAGTTAAATTTTTTATGATACAAATCATTCTGATTATATTTATTGTCAAAGTTGTTACATTATAAAATCAGAAAAATGAAACTTGCAATTTTTGCACTAGTTGTAATCGCTATGATAATTACGGGCAAGTTTTTAATAAATAAAATAATAGCTGTTTAATTAAATTATACACAATTTATTAATTATAATGCTATTTTTAATCAGCAAATCTATAAACTAATTGCAAATGAAAAACATAAACTGCTAATTAAACATAATGAAATTAAACTTAATTTATTTTCTAGTAACCAAGGCCGATTACCAAAACACGGCAATATTAAATCAGGTGCGAGCGTTGATACGCGAGTACGAGACTCATCACAACCGGTACCTAAAATCCAACGCCCAATTGGCTAAGCGTTTAAACCAGGAATTGTCAACTTTGCGGGAATTGGAGCGGGACCTGAACCGGGCGTCCCGTAATCTGGACTTGAAAGCCTATAATGCATACCAGAGCCGGTACCAGAAACATAATGATAAGCTCAGAGAGCTTTTAGGCTAGATAACATACATTTTATGTGAATTACACTTATGTAAAATTAATTATGTATAATTTTATATGATGATAAATGTTACTGAATAAAAATTAATTATGCAACATATTTACTTTTTTTACTAATTGTGATTAATTTAACTTGATAGTTAATTACTGTCAAACTCCCTTTAATCGCAAGTATATATTAATAAATGTAAATTGTATTGATAATAGTTTAAATTGTTCAGTATGTAACTAAAATAATTATATAAAATAAATAAATACTCTGTTAATAAATCTGAAAAAATGAATATTATTTATTTATCAAATTAATTCGAATAGAATACAGATAAAAATTATTATAAATTTACATCTTTAACAAATATTTAACCTAATAATTTATGCACAAATAATTATTTTTAACAAATTCAATCCTGTCTGCAAAAAAATTAATCATAAGGATATTATCAAAACATCAATATAACAAATTAACACTTTTGCACTTCACCTTGATTATCTGGCACTTCCAGCAAAAAATATTTCATGGATTTCCTATGAAAAAGTGTCGGTTGTTTGTATAAAACGGATGGACAATACATTTGTACAAAAAACCCGATCCTTTTAATAATTTTAGCATGTTGTGCATACTTTACGAGACTATATAAACATAGAGACTTAAAGGATTAGGGTTAGTTTTGTTGCATTTTATATTTAATAAAATAACTACAACAAAGTTATCATAATGAAAGCTGCGATCTTTGCCTTGGCTATCATCGCTGCCTCAATATGCCGTACGTATTGATCGTGATCATTAATTTTTATTATAGCCATAATTAAATTAAAATATATAAATTTAAAAATAATCAATTAAATAAATAACAAAACAATCTTTGAAAACAATTAATTTTTGTATCAATCTCTGCAACAATAGTAATTCAGGCACAGGACTACCGGTCCACTGTTGTGTTGGGTCGGGTGCGACCCCTAATACGTGAGTACGAGGGCCATTACAACCGGCACCGGCACACAAACCGACGACTGGGCGAACGCATTAACAGCGAGTTGAGTCAATTGCGTACACTGGAGCGCGACCTGAACCGGGCCAGTCGTAACCTGGACTACAGAGCTTACAATGCCTACGAACGCCGTTTCCAACGCCACCAAGAGCGTCTTAGAGAGCTGTTGAAGTATGGTAATTAAATTGTTTACCATATTCTGGTATTAATTAAAGTTTTGTCAAAATTTTTTGGTTATGATTATCATTAAAATGCGAATTTAAATAAATTTACAGTTTATAAATTTGAAAATTACATTGTATTTTATTTGGTATAAGTTGTTTTAAAAGTGATTGTAATGTTAAAGTTTGTTATTGTTAAATAAAATGTATTTCATAATGCGCAGTTCTTTCTAATTTTATATTAATCATTATTAATAGATTGATTAATTAGATTTTATTATAAAATATCAACCTTGATCATTAATCAGTAGAGTTTATGGTAAAATAAAATAATTAGTTAATAAAGGGGGTTTCTAAACAGTTTTGATTATAAAACAATTAAAGTTAATTATAACTTAACGCAAACATAAACGACCATGGTCGGTATGTAAGCACTTGCAATCTATTATGTTTATTTAAGACAATTAATTAGTGTTAAATGAACCCTGTTAAATATCCCAAATAAACTAACGTGATTTCTATGTAATTAGTAATTCAGTATAATAATAATAATAATAATTTTTATTTAGCATAAGCAATGAAATACATAACGTGTTGTTTTCATAATAAAATATCATTTAAATGTTTTACAAATTTCTTATAACATTGTTCATTACGTAAATAAATTGGGNAATGAGTTAAAACAAATAATACATTAGTGTGTATTTACAACTTATTTATTTATTAACACTAATAATAGGGTTATTTTCCACTAAAACCATATTCCTTGTGTAAATAATTGTTTAAACATTAGGTGTGATTCAAAGCAAACATAATGATATTTTAGTATAAGCTTTAAAAATCTAGGTATTTACGGTCGCAAAACAATTCACATTAAATGTACACAAAATATTTGCACACAAACACAATGAGAGCTAATGTAAAGTCTATGGGATTTTCCGGGCATAATGTTTGCTGATGATCATAATGTAAATTCCATGATTGATTAAAATCAAGGTGACTTTAATCAATATAAATCAATATTATCAATAATGTTAGCCTATGGGTCAGTGTGTCGTACATATAAGAGGGCCGGATATCATGCACTAGTCGTTCAGTTGACATACAAGTGCTCAATAGACAAGTTGTCGTCAATTAATTAACTCGATATCCATTTAATAATAATTTTAATTTAACTCTATTTGAAATAATGGTCCGTTTTTTGTTGGCGAGTCTACTTTTGATTGCGTTGCTGGTGGTCACTCTCATTGATGGTAAATCCACAAAATTAAACGTGTTTAATTAATTAAATAACATTTATTAATTAACCTACCATAAAAAACATAAAAATTACAAAAACTCATTGCAGTTATTTATGTTAACCATAAAAATAAATTACAATAATAACTCCAACTTTAATTACCATATAATTTAGTGACGGCCGGACACCACCGACACCACCACCGCTCACCGCAACTACTACTCGGCCGTATATCACCTCTATTGGCCACATACGAGGGCCATCTGGGCCGGTACCGGCACCACCATCATCACCGGCACCGGTACCACAGCCTACAGCACGAGCTGCACCGCGTACGCCAATTGGAGAGGGAACTATTTGAGATGGAACGCTCCGGGGCCGCGTATTTAGAGCCTGATTATTTTTTCGATGTGGAACGCCGACTTATGCGCCACGAGGCCAGGTTGGCCGAGATATTGGAGTAGTTGGTCATCCTATCTGTGCTGAGCACTCTCACTGCCATTTACACTAATTTGATCCCATTTGACCACTCATAACATAATTTTGTGACTATTTTTATAATTCATTCATTTCTGATGTTTATATTGTATTTGTTTTTATAATACTTTTATGTGATTTTTATTATTACCTTAGTCTTTGTATTTTTTAAAATGATTTATAACATGATTTGAAGTTCAAACAATTGTAATTATTTTTCAACGCTATTTAATTATTTAATAAAATTTGTAATTGTAATTTTTAATTAATTTATTAAATTAATAAGTTTCGCAAAACAACTAGAATACAACTCTTTATTAAAAATATAAATCAAACATCAAGATTAATCTCATTATAAATATTTATATAATTTTTCAGTTATTTTAAAATTTTATTTTAAAAAATTAATATTTAAAATAAAATAAAATATAAATATTTAATTAAGTTGTAATTGATAGTAATGTTATTGTATAGATAACAGAGTAAATATTATTAATAACATGTTAGTACAAAACAATAATATAAATCTAATTATAGATTTTTTAATGTTTAATAATAGTTTTTATATAAAGTATTATTGTTATTAAGCCGTTTAAAAAAACTTGTCGCCTCAAGAATCGTTATATCTCCCAAACGGAATGAGCTAGATCAATTCTGTAAACTGTAAAATGATGGTCCACATATCTAGTTTTTTGTATTAAAAATCAGAAACAACTAGATATGTGGACCATCATTTTACAGTTTACAGATTTGATCTAGCTCATTCCGTTCGGGAGATATAACGATTCTTGAGGCGACAAGTTTTTTTGAACTATTAGATATTGTATTTGAATTAAATGATTAAGCTAACGTATTTTAAAATATTAATCATTGATTTAATTTAATTTTTATTTTATTTAATTTAGTACTAATAGTTATGTTACAAAATTTATAAACAGTTAAAAACAATTATTATAAATGCACATACTCATTTAAATGAATATAAATTTAGATTGTTTATGCTAAAATATTTATGTTTTTAGGTTATATAAATTTAGTATAGCCTGCAATCACGAGTAATTGAAATAAAATTTAAGTACACTATGTAAAAAGTCAAGTGGTATATACCATGTTATAATAAAATTACAATATCACTATATGCATTCACCTCATATTTATATCATTTTAAAATCAAAAATATTTAGGTAAATTTATATGCAAATATAGTTGCTAATATTTATGAACATGCTCTAAATGAAAATAAATAACTGTCACATATTTAAAATTTGAAAACAAATTTTATTTAATAGCAAAGTGTAAAATCAATTTTTTGTCAATACAAACATTTATCATTATCAACTTATTTTATAAACAATATTTTAAAGACTTTAATTTTAGAACATAATAACAATTAATCAAAGATACTAGCGCAAATGCAACAAATTTTTAAATTGATCAATGTCAAAATAAAATAAATTTTAAAAGTATATAAACTGCGACCACAAACATAGTTGATTCAATAGTTATTAATAGATAAACAACCTTTAGTCTCTGTAAAAACTAATAAGCATAATGTTATATAATATAGTGGTAACAGTAGTTATACTGTATTTAACTGTTCAAGGGTTAAATGGTGACGGGCTATGGAAGGGCCGATGCGGCAACCAAGGTGAACCGACCACCAAAATAATGGGCGGGTCACATGCTTACATGGGCGAGTGGCCCTGGATGGTGCGCCTTTTAAGCTGTTCAGATGGACACTGTTATGGATGCGGCGGTTCGTTGATTAGCGACCAGTGGGTACTGACGGCCGCCCACTGCGTTGACCAATGCGAGCGAATTTACGCCAGTCTTGGTGAACATAACAGGGAAGATAGTGGCAACAATGAAGTGCACCTTTCAATCATAGAGGTGAGTCATAAATAATTATATAACTTATAATTCAAATATTGGTTTGATAGTTAATTTTTCTACATAAACAATATATTGGATTGTTTGTTTTGCCTTATTTAATAGAATATATTAATTAATAACTTAATATAAAGTTACTTTATAAAGTTACTTTATATTATCCAATAATACAAATACTAATAATACAAATAATTGTTTAGAAAATTATTTGATAAAAAATTTATAATTATTATTTAGAATATCGTTCACAAAGACTACAACAATAAATCTTTAGCCAATGATATCGCTCTTCTTAGATTGAGCGAATCACTAGATCTGAGTGGTAGTCATAATCATCTAGAGCCTATTTGCCTGGATAGCTCAAAAATACGTGTCAACACAACATGCGTGGCCACAGGTTGGGGTAGAACCGAGTTGACTGATTCTCACAGCATATTGCAAAAAGTCGAATTACCAATCGCGGATGATGGATTGTGTGTTAACAAATGGGGAGGTTGATGTTTGATTATTAATTAAACAAAAATTATATACATACTATATATCTGAACCATATAAAATATTATGTAAATATACATTATTCAACTGAATTCTGTTCCAGGGTTTTTGCTTGCATTTTTGTACCTAGCGGCAATTTTAAAATTTGATTATTAATCATCTCTATCGTAAATTCATATTTTAGGTCAATATCAAGCCAGTAATCAAGTGTGCGCTGGCATTCCTAACAATAATAAAGATACCTGCCATGGTGACAGTGGCGGACCCCTGGCCTGCAAACTCTACACCGGCCCCTGGATGTTAAATGGCATAACGTCATATGGTAGCACTCAACAAGGTGCAAAGTGCATTGCGCCGCCGAGCGTTTATACCCGGGTTTCCGCTTATTTACCATGGATTAAAGAGATTATGATTGAGAAGATTAAAGAGAGCAGATTTGGCAACGCTATAGCCAACCGTCACGTTTGGTGATTTATTTTAAAATTATTATAATTAAAATTAAACTTGTCTATTCATATTAGATCTTGATATAAAATATTAGTTTAAATAAAACATTAGAAAATTGTAACGTGTTAATTTTTTAAAATAAAGATTGCAATACAATTTGTTATGTTAACCACAATTCTAATGATGCTCAAAGAATATAAGTTTTTAAAACTATAGTTGTAAAATTTTACTAAATATGTATTTGGAGCCTGATTATTTTTTCGATGTCAAACGTCGGCGTATGCGCCACAAGGCCAGAATGGCCGATATATTGGTCACCCTATCTGTGCTGAGCCCTCTCACTGCCATTTACACTTTTTTGATCCCATTTGACCACTAATGACATCATTTTGTGACCATTTTTATAATTCATTCATTTCTGATGTTTATATTGTATTTGTTTTTATAACATTTTTATATGTTTTTTATTATTACCTTATTGTTTATGTATTTTTTTAAAATTATTTAATGATGATTTGAAGTTCAAACAATTGTAATTATTTTTAATTGCTATTTCATTATTTATTAAAAATTGTAATTATAATTTTTAATTAATTTATTAAATTGATAAATTTGGCAACACAAATAATATACGTATAAGTATTATATTTAATATAAATATAAATCAAAGATTTATTTTTAGTTATAAATATTTATATAATGCACTGCTAGATTAAAAATCAATATGGATGTACGATAGAATAATTAAAGTAAATATCATAATGTCCAAAAGATTAAATTACAATGTATTGTCTATAGGAGCATATGGGCAAAGCCTATGTTTTTGGACATCTTGGTAAATATCATAATGTAAATAATGTAAAATGTAAATAATTAAGGTAAATATTATATAAAATTTATTATAATGTTGCAATAATATTAAAAACAGTTTCATTAAAATAAAAATTTAAATGTATGTTTTAGTTTAAATGTTATTAGATTAGGAAATAATATTTTATCGTGCATAATAGTTTATAGTATAATTTGAAAATCCAATTTAAAAATGCTGTCCACAACAACAGTAATTAATTTATCATTGAAAACACTACTATTGTGTGGATTTCTATACCAAACGTATGAAATCAGTGTAATATACTTCTCGTACGAAAAAAGTACCATGGTCATGTTTAGCGATGTGTTGAGTGTACCGGCGCTTACACTATGCATGCAAACCAAAGACCTAATAAGATGTGAGTTAAAGTATAAATATTTTGACAAACATGGTAATTTTATACAACACGTCTTCGCCAACCAGTCGATGAACAACCAGATGAACGAACTTATAGACATTGATGATTTATTTGTATGTTTAACCATGTACAGAAATAAATCAGAAAATTGTACGAAGGTAGCTCAGTATCGCCGGTCGCTCACATCGCGGAGTTATCACTTTTGTGTGACAGTATTGTCTCAATGGGTGGGCAATGAGTCAAATGAACGTTACCAGGCCAAATTCCGGACAAATAAAGGCGACCTGGCTATTAAGTTTAGAATAAACATTAAAGCAATGACCAAGTGGCTAACTGTCCATGTGCATTCGCGCCATGAAAAGCTACGAGACATTAAACGCAAGGGTAATTGGGTGGATGATCCTAGTAATTATAGCTATTTGGATATTTCTTACCGGTTAAAAACTGTCCAATTAAATCGCATGGTAAATAGTGATAAATGTTTACAGTGGCAATCAATTGATAAGTGCGTAATTCAATGTATGATTTGCCAAATTTACCAAGACAGTGAATCTGTTTCCATAAACACGCTACATTACCAGGATGATGATGGTTTTAATGGGCATAACCCTTTTTATGTTAATAAATCAATTAAGCGTATCTCGTGGCCTAGTTATGAATTATTATGCTTGAATAAATGCGTTGACATCGAGTGCATTAAAAACTATTACATGCCTAAATACAACGCTAAAATTACACCACATAATAATACATATTTTGATATTTACTTATATCTACCCTCAGAACCCGATATGGTATACGAGGTATCACTGAAATTATCATTTGAAGAGTACGTGGTATTCATGGGATCACTACTTGGCCTATGGTTTGTAGCGTTGCCAGATATACAGGAATGACCTGTATTATACAGGAATTAAAGAATATTGCAGAGTACAGGAAGGTGTCATTCCTGTACATTGAAAAATACAGGAATAAATATTTTAACAATAAACCATAAAAGTATTATAATATTCAAATTTGTTAATAATAATAGTTTTGTACATCCACAATTTGAACTAATGCTACAAATCAAATAATTTTAAATATAATTAACTCAATTACAAAGACATTGTATAATCGCTTGAATTTTTGCGAAAGTATAATTCTCTGGAAATTGAATGAATTTAAAGTTTTGATTGACAAACAATGAAATACAGGAAAATACAGGAATTTTTGGTAAAATTTGCACAATTATACAGGAAATCCAAAATATTTTCTGGCAACGCTAATGGTTTGGTGTATCGGTCCTTATGTTCACTAATCTATTCACACAATTGTTTAATAAATATAAAATTTATTTCTGCATAAATAAGACTATTATTGTTACTAATAATAATCAAAACGTATTGAGTTTAAACATCACAAATAATCAGCATTTAGTACGTGGTAATTCTATTCAACCACGTGTTTCGCGTTTTAACTTTTACGGACACGCGCTCACAAACTTTAATGGTTACAACTCATAAATAGATTAATAAATGTTTAACTTAAATAAATAATTAAAATTGCTCTTGTTCGTTTTATATGAAATGTTTATTATTTATTATTCTTTATAATAAAAACACTACATTTAAAATTACATTAAAATTGACATAACATTATAAATAATACTAAATTTTAAATTTACAGTAAATACCCGTACATAACAACTGAACTCTAAAACATTTATAATAAGACTTCACTCTATACATTCAGATAATTTTAAATACAATTAATTAAACAAAATTAGTTATAACTTGATTATACAATTGAGAGAGAGAGAGAGAG